TTTGCTGATGAAAAGACACAATGTTAAGTGGAAATGTCGTCAGAAATACACTCCGTGGTAAGTGAAATATCCTTGATTACGAGAAGCACATTAATATAAGGTAATTTGAGAAAAAGAGATATAGTAACATGCATTTATTATTATGCATGTGTATTTACTAAATCAATAACCGTTAGTACAGTCACATTGTGAATTTCGTTTGGTAACTATCGATAACAAATCCATTATAAAACTGAAATTTGAAATAGGAAAGCACAACAAAAGCAGAAGGAAACTATTTTTGGGAGGAAAATGGTTGGTTTGTGAATTTTTAAATTTAACTTTAGAAAAACAATATTTAAAAGGGAGAAAACTAGTATAATCTGAGCATTATGATATCTCAATGTTGTCTCCCTTAGTGATTAAAAAAATACAACATTTCATGTCGTGACTCATGAACACCCTCCTCTTAAAGATCCTGTATGTTGTGATCAAAGTGGTAAATCACACTAAGTGAATTTATATATATGTACACAATTGTGCAAATAAAACAATTTTCAAACATCAAAGAATATGTAAAATATGAACTGCAAATTGTTTGCATATTATATGTAATCATTAAAATATAAGCATTCATTTCTTATTGTAAAATTTGACTTAAACTTAATAGAAATTAAATATTAAATATTAACTATTAAATATTTTTTATGACCTCCCTTTATTTACATGAAATGTTAAATTCGGTAATATCTTTATAAGTCATGCTTTTTTGGATTTTGATAAATCTTAATTTAAGCATTATAATTATGATTTAAAACCATAAGAATGTGTAACAAGATCTTTAAATATTGAGTTGCTGCTATGCAATTCGTGAAAATATTGCATATGGTGTTCACTCTGTGAAATATACTTCTATCTTACAAGCAAAAAATAAATTTCCTTTATTTATTTATTTATTTAACATTTAAGACATTATTAACACGATGGCTGATACAATCGCAATTAAAACCTGGCGTAAACGTTGCTCAAATCTACAAAATGGGCAGGTTGCTTAAAAGCCGATTATATCTTAGTAATGCTTATCATAGTTATTTATCTAAAACTTTTTATTGTTTGTACCTTGCTCCAGAAAATACTTATTTGTTAGATACATAATCTATCTTAAATTGCGTTGTTAATTGGTATAATTTAGGAGTCAATTAGTATTCTGTATGGAAGTCATTAAACAAATTTGTTTACACTTTTCTATCTTAACATATCATTGTTGCACATTCGGTGTTACTTTCGTTGATTGTTAACCATGTAATATGGTTAAATTCAATATTAAAATATTATTAAACACATGTTTGAAATTTCTAAAATGTATAAAAGATATGTAACTTTGAGACATAATGTGCCTTTAACTGATCTACCTAAATAGGCTAATACAGTCCGTTTAATTTGATCATCAACGATGCATCCGTTAAAAGATTGGCTTTAAGCATACAAAAGGCATCGATATGTCAACGCTATACGCTTATATTTTAAAGATCCTGTGACTCAGTTTTTTATGGTTTTTAATTATCATAAATACTAGATGATGCTAAAATGAAGTTTATCAATAATGTAGGTTCCAAAAAGCATTATTTGTAAAAATATTACCAAATTTACATTTCATTATTTAAAGGTTATTAAAGGTAGGTAATTAGAAATTTATTTTCTATACTGTCTTACTCAAATTTTTCAATAATAAATGAAAGCATATATTTTATGATTACATATAATGAAGACAAATATTTACAGTACATATTTGACATATTCTTCGATGTTTGAAAATTGTTTTAGAAGCATAATTATATACAGCATAATTATATACATATATAAAATTTCACCTAAGTGTGGTAACAACCTTAAATAAAACATTCAGGATTTTTAACACAAACCATATAGATAAATAATATATGTGAAAGAGATTGTTATATTTCTATTTTTTTGTACATTTTTTCCAGACTCAAAACCAGATGTGAACACAAAATGCCCGTATATGATACAGTTAAATCCTATATGGAGTAATGAACAAACTGTAACAAACTCACTACGTCTTGAGCACGCGAAAATCGTGCAGAAAATCGTAATAGATACAACCACATGCAATGACGACAGATATCTTGTAGAGAGAAATTTTACAGTGAAGTACCTGGATGCGACTGACATACTTAGACAGGAACAACATTATTCTAATGTAAGTTTCGGCAGAATACGCCACATTACGTTGTTCTACGTCAATCCGCGAAATACATGATAATCAACTTAAGAAAAGTTGAACACAGTATTATTACGAGGGATGATATTTTTACTGGTAACCACAAACTCATGTGTTATTTATTTTATTACCCCGAACAAATACTGTGATGATCTGAATTTGTAAACAAAATCTAACTGTAACAAAAATAAACTAAGAGTAGCAATAACTAAACTGTCCTTACCTTACCTTGCAAGCTGTAGGCCTACTGTACTTGAGAAGCTGTTTTTCTTTTATTCTTTGAGCAAGTGATGATATCTACCAGTCATAAACATACAATAAGTTGTGTTTTATTCAGAAAACAAAACACTAACCCATTTATAAGGTTATGATCAGTGAAATCTGATCCTTCTGTATCCAGAATATTCTTCACATGGTTTTTGACAAAGTGCATTTACAAATTAACGATGATATCCTACAGATGTCTGTCCACCAACTCTATCTGTAACGTTTCACAGGTTAAAATTGTTAAACAATCCTTTGTTGCATGCTTTAATCGTCTGTATATTCCAGTTTGACACAAAATTATTCACGGATGTTTACTTTTTGACTATTCAACAAAAAGATATTTTATACGCGAAAAGAACTCTATAGGATGCAAAGAACTAAATTTTATGAGAGTCATAGTTACTTTGGTGATGCCATAGGCCCTATCGTCGAAAATAAGAATGAATCGAGAGAAAAATGGCGGCCATTTTATTTCATTTTATTTAGAAAATAGACCACGTGACAAGATTTTATACTGTTAAAAAATACTGTTACCTATGTAACAGTACAAAATTCTTAGTCACGTGGTACACTTGCATTAACAGTAAGAATAACTCCCAGAGGCCTATGGGAAATTTACATTACGAGAAAAGTGAGGTGTAATCATTATTAATCATACCATTTAGCGAACTAAGTTATACTTTCAAAGCCTGCAAAATAATAAACTATTGATTTATTTTCATGGAAACGTGTGACCTTATACGCCATTTTAAGATACCTCGGTTAAAAAGCGAATAGTCAAAACCAAGCAACGTTGGGATACAATGTATGAAACTTTCCTTTAAGATAAACAAGACAAAAAATAATCTTTAAATAAATCATTATGACGTCAGTTACAAAACGAATCATTTTAGTCATTAATGAACTTTTTCATTATATTTTTTTTTACAAAATTAATATAAAATATTAAAAAAGAACTATCAATATGATTCATGCTCAAAATATTATACATGTATAAATAACACATGGGTTTGTGGGTAACAGTAAAAATATCATGCCGAGGAAAATACCTTTACCCGAGGTGTTAGCCGAGAGTAACAGTATGTTTACAAAGGATGATATTTTTACTGTTACCCGCAAACCCATGTGTTATTTATTTTATCACCCCGAACTGTGAGGATTTCTTATGATGATTTTATTTAATTTTCTTTAGAAAATAGCCCTTGTGACCAAATTTTATACTGTTACAAATACTGTTACCCCGTAACAGAACAAATTACTCAGTCATATGGTACACTTGCTTTTACAGTAAAAATAACTCCCAGTGGCCTATGGGAAATTTACATTACACAAAAAGTGAGGGGTAATAATGCCAAATACATGTTCTCAATTGTTTTAGAGTCTGTCTGGGCAGTGGGGACAATATGACGCAAGGATAGAAATAGTGCTGGATCCCGTGCTCTATTCGGATCACGTGATCCTCACGACAGCTGAACCAATCAAATGTTCCAGACTTAAAATCATGGGATGTACAACAGATGGTATGTAAAACTATCTTTGTATACATATCTTCATTATCTCATAATGTACTTAAAGCAGCACGCCTTCAGATTCATGCTAATTTTCATGAAAAATTTTAACATATGTGTAAACGTATAATAATGTGTAGTGACCAAAAGGACGCAATTTACAACTAATTAATTGCACTTACAACTCACGTTACTTACTAAATTGAGATAAAATTTGCAAAAAAAAGACCTTACTGCGTTATTAACGCAGTAGGAATATAGTCATAATACTCAGAGAAAAAATAAAAACAGTCATTAACCACATATAACATGTTAATAATTACTTGACTCTTTAATATTTCTACATTCTTAAAGTCTAAGTAATATTTTTTGAAGTTTGATTTTATTGAAATATTTTTGCTTATTTGGAGGTATGTAGCTTTAATATCAATAGCTTGCGTGCTCCAATGAAGTATATTTTTTTTTATTAAAGCAGCAAGCCTCTCGATTCATGATAACTTTGAAAGTGTATTGAATATTGTGAAGTGAACAAAAAATCCGCATTGCTAACAGAACTTACAACCCATGCAAATTAACCAGTAAAAGAGGTCAAAATATGCAAAAATAGCCATACTGTGTTAGTCAGACCGAAGAAAACTGCAAAATCCGTCATAAATGGCATATAACATAGTTTTTTATGGAAATTATTACTTTTTAGCTTCCTACAGGGAAAAAGTTACGTTGCTTCATTATTCGAGCGTATGGAAATACAAAGATTAAATGGAGAATAACGTTTTATTTTTTATCCCTAGTTTTAATGGCTTCTTAGGTTAAAATTCCATTGAAAGACTTCTTGCCAGATATGGTCTGTTAATGACGTCATCGCGTTGCTTACTCTAATGATGAATAATGGCGATAATGTAACACTCTGCATTTTTTTTTATAAAAGATATGTGTCCGATAAACCATTGTAAGAATAATGGAAAATGCGTTGGAAATGGAATATGTGCATGCCAAAAAGGATTCATAGGAAGCCATTGTGAACTCACAGGTAATTGTTTTGTATAACATCCATGGAAAACACTTCAAATAAATTAGCTTCACTTGTATTTGTTTGACTTGTTTAAATAAATTGCTCGAATATATTTGGAAAATAAAATGGAAAGAGAAGTTAAGTATAATTCTACAGAACTCTACGACGTGTCTAACATTTTTCAATTACAAATTCTGAAGTTCACCCAAGCAACGACAACGTTGTAAACACATAAATTAAGCATCTTAAAAAATGAAAATAAACTTAAGCTAAACCGAATTAAGATATTTTAATATTTCAATGTGAATATATTTTAGTCTATCATTTTCAGTGTCAAAGATGTCGGTAGATAATTATGAAATTATTGGTGCAATACCAAAGCTTCTGATAACCAAAGACGCGGCATTTGACGTCACGGGTGACGTAACTTTCTCTTATACTCCGCCGAAAGACACAACGTTGAACAAACGACATTACTATGGTCACCACAGCTCTTCCCATTTCTATGGAAACGGGGGTAGTTGTACGTACTCTACTTCACATAGTCACGGACACTCAAGTAGTGGTCATTCAACATACGGGTATCATTCGTCCAACAGTCGGTGCTCGTCTATTCTGACGTCACCATGTGGTTACTCGTACACTTCGCAAATGAGTTTTGGTCATAATCACCATCATGGCGGTACGTCTTATCTATATTCCACACATGGAACTTCCCACTATTCGCACGGAGCATCGATGCATTACCACAACAATTATCTACACATGCACGTGCATAATAACGGGCACTATTCAAACGAGCATTATCACGTGGTTGCACCGTTTACTCCCAAACCTAATGTACCATACAATGTCTGTTCGTCATATAGGTACGACATTACACATTTATTTCTTTTCATAAGATGTTTAAATGAACAGTTCAAAAGAACAGTATAAAGAAATGTAATTAATTAATTAATTAATTAATTAAATAATTAATTAATTACATTTCTTTATACGTCCTTTGTCATCACTGTCAGAAAATACCAATTTTGGATTTGTTCTAAGTAGAAAAAATATGCTTAGATTTGGCATCAGCCTTTTCTGTTCCAATGCTATTGTTATTTTAGTCCCCATTACGGTGCCACTATGTATGTAAACGGTCGCCCACTGGCATCTCAGACAAAGCCTTCCACTCATTATCCTACTCCATCACCAACACCTACACCAAGTCCTACACAACAACCACTATGCTATGGCTCGTGTGGGGCTCATACAGGGACCGGGCAACATAACTACAGTATTTCAAACATTGGCATATGTGGAGGGAGCGTGCCATTCTTGGCAATAAACAACGTGCTCGGTCTTCTTGGTAGTATAGTTTACAGTATCATAATACAAGAAAACCAAACATATATGAGCCGCGTCATGACAAAACCAGCATAGTGCGTTTGCGACCAGCATGGATTCATACCAGCCTGCGCATCCGCGCAGTCTGATCAGGATCCATGCTGTTCGCTTACCAACCCTATTACAAGTAGAGAAACTGATAGCGAACAGCATGGATCCTGATCAGACTGCGTGGATGCTGGTCGCAAACACACTATGTTGGTTTTGTCGTGACGTATTTATGGTCTGGTTTTCTATCAATTTCAATCGGAACATTCTAAACCAATTCAAAATATTTCTTTAATAAACATATTGTAAACCAATCAAATAGTTTTATTAATAAACCGCGGGACAGGAGTGTAATAATCCCATTTTGTAAAAAAAAATTAAATAAATAATTTAAAAATAAAAAAATAAATAGATATAAATAAACGATACTACACTAGTATAATATTAATACTTTTACGTGACATCATTTGCGTTATATGCAAACATAGCATAAACGCGCGCTTATGTTAGCGTCACATTATTGGTGCATAGAAAAGACCATATTTTAACTGTAAACCGTTCTTAACTTTTTGACGTTCTACCAGTTCAATAGATTTGGTATTACATCTACACTTATTGACTTCTTCTTTATATGAGCCGTGCCATGACAAAACCAACATAGTGGATTTGCGACCAGCATGGATCCAGACCAGCTTGCGCCTCCGCGCAGTCTGATCAGGATCCATGCTGTTCGCTATCAGTTTGTCTACTTGTAATAGGGTTTGTAAGCGAAGAGCATGGATCCTGATCAGACTGCGCGGATGCGCAGGCTGGTCTGGATCCATGCTGGTCGCAAACGCATTACGTTGGTTTTGTCATGACGTGGCTCATACATATACTAATAAACCAACCGAAAGGTATAAACAAAAGTCGTAACATTTTCCGCAGCACATATTACATAGAAACAGATATAACAAACACTTTTGATGAGGCATGTTCTAGATATGGATTACAGTTTATTGCCATTTAGGTTCGGCTATGACAAATCTATTGTTTCATCATGGCCCGTCCACACCGATAACAATGGCTCTGACAGCAGCACCGACTACTGCGGCTCCGACAACCACCCCATCCACTTTGCCACCAGCATCAGCAACTTCAGGTAAAAAAAGTTTCAAACAAGTATTTAGAGCATGGCGTAATTCAGCCAGTGTGCCAGTTAAACCTTGACAATTTGATTGCATTCAGAAATGAGTTCGATCCAAACTTTAAGGCGTAAAACTAAATACAAAAATGTACTTAGTTTCGTATCGTGTTCTAATGAAGATGATATTTACAATTATTCTCCATATGATACTGATCATGCAGTCTTGGAACAAAAGAAGGAAACTTGTATTGCTTGAGTTTGAAAAAATGCACTTTTAATTAATTTTCACTTTTTAGTAATGATTTAAACGTATTGAAATAACTAAAATGGGGCGGTCAATATGTAGTTTTGTATCCTTGTAACAAGACTTTGGAAATACCTCGCGATTTGATTTTTAATCAAATTATGTAATATGATGTATTACTAGCAAAGTGGGCCATTACGTACATGTATTTCTATCCCGGTCCAGTGAGACATATTTATACACATATTTTACAGCTCATCCTTCGAGTGCTACAAGTAAATATGCTCCAGTTTGCCTAGACTGTGCACACGTGAGCGACCCCTCAACTTGTACGAATGCAATGCAATGTTATCATGGAGATGTAAGTCTTCTATGGTGCATGGATGAGTTGTGCTATGTCTATTTTCCTACTCAGGACGCCGTAAAATCAAAAAATGCAACGAAACGGCGACAAAATGTTAACTTTGTTGTATGTTCGTGTTTTAGCCTGGCGCCCCATGGAGCGAAAATATGGCATGGCACAAATCACCCGCCATATTTTTCAATAATTATCTTCATTACCTCTAGCACTTATGATAATCGATTTTACTGAGTCAAACAAAATTCATATCTTGCACCAGTAAAATGAGCATGCATATATTCGCTTTTCATTGAAAAATTCAAATTTGTGAAAACGTGTACTCTTCTTCACTGACCGGTCGGGACATTTCAACTTCATTAATTCCCGATATCATTTTAAAATTCACAATTTTAACTTTGTGAATTCACGTTTTCAAAATACGGAATTTACGAATTTCTGATTACAACGTCATGAATTCAAAATTTCAACTTCACAAACTCAACTTCAAATTCACATTTTCACGATACTTCACGATACCAACCTCGTGAATTTACGATTTCAGCTTCGTGAATTTACAATGTCATCTTCACGAATTCACTATTTCTACTTCGTGAATTCAACTTCGTAATTAATTGTTTTTAACTTCACGATTTCATCGTCATGAATTCAATTTCAAGCATTCATGTTTTGTAATTCACGATTTCAATTTTACTTATTCAAGATTTCATCTCCACGAAGCTGTAAATCGTGAATTTACGAAGATGAAATCGTGAATTTACGAAGATGAAATCGTGAATTTACGAAGATGAAATCGTGAAGTTAAAAACGTAGGTTGAGATAGTGAAGTTGAAATCTTGAATCCACGAATTCTGTATATTGAAATCGTGAATGTGTGAAGTTATGATAATTATAACCTTGATAATAATTACAAATAACTTATAACTACAATAATAATAATAATTTTATTACCTGTAATAATATTGTTTTTCGTTTCTGGTTCATTTGATGTACTACATATATTCACTAATGAAATATTCTTTATATTAATGTTTGAAAGTGTGTGACTTTAGAAGCATATCGTCATTTTGCAGGTTTGTCTAATTCTTCATGATAAATATGGCTATACACAAAGATGTATCAGCAAACAGGTAAGAAATCTGAATTATTAGCATAAAAAGTAAATGTGTGATGTTGGCGGCCTAGCAGCCCAGCGGCCTAGCTGTGTGAAGTTGGCTAGGCCGCCAACTTCATACATCTATAAAAAAAAGACCATATGCTGAAAGCAATCAAATACTGATCATTTATATTGAATTGAATGCTTATTATCATAGAGCAAACTTTATAGTAATCCAAATACCCATTGTTTTTAGCTTAAGGATATATCGTCATAGACAAGATTTTCTTTAATCTCGAACTTTGCTCATGTCTGGTAAATGCAAATATTGACGTACTGTATATATTATTAGCGTATTTATTCATATGACCATCATTTCATGTAATATCTTATTCAATAAAATAAAAATTCGGTAATTTAATCCATTTAGATTTTCATATCCCTTTATCAATGTACTAAATCCCCCAAATGACGTCATCAAAGGGTGACAACTTGATTTCGATCTAAAATGAAAAAGGTTTATAGGTACTTTAAAAACAAATAAAATCTAGAAAATATAAATGAGCCGCGTCATGACAAAACCAACATAATGAGTTTGCGACCAGCATGGATCCAGACCAACCTGCGCATCCGCGCAGTCTGATCAGGACCCATGCTGTTCGCTTACTAACTATATTACAAGTACAGAAACTGATAGCGAACAGCATGGATCCTGATCAGACTGCGCGGCTGCAGGCTGGTCTGGATCCATGCTGGTCGCAAACGCACTATGTTGGTTTTGTCGTGACACGGCTCATATTTCTTTAGGACTGCGACAAAGGAGTATCTAAGACACTGGTAGACTGTTGGAAATGCTGTAGTGACAACCTTTGCAACGACAAATGCACACCCAGTAAGCTAAAATAAATGTACTTGCGTAATATTATACAATCGCCTCGGCCAATATGACATTCTTCCGTTGAATATCAACTTGTCAGAAATTGAATATGTCTAAAATTAAAAGAAATACTAAGTGTAGGTTACTTTTCATTGTCAAATTTTATATAAAACTTAACACAATTATGGCAAAATGTCGAGTTGTTATTGTTTTTAACTGATCACTGACCGTTTAGTCTTATATAGTGTAATTTTATAATTATATTTTTACATTATTAGTATATTACAATTTTTTGTATGTGTGCGTTTGATCATTTTAGGTACAAGTGAACCAATTGGTTGTCAGGATGAGAAAGAATGCAGCTCGTTGAAAAGCCTAGGGGCTTATTATGATGTGTGTCAAGATCCTATATATTCTTCCACCGTATGCAAGAAATCATGTGGACATTGCCCATAGAATCGGAATCAAACATGACTGTGATTTTTCCCTGCCTTTGATTTGATAATATTTAGTTCAATATGACATGTATGAGTTCGAGATTTTGTTTTCGCACATTAAAGCGTTGTTGCATATGTTCTTTGACATTCTTCCTTGTGACAGTTTCGTTTTATTTCTTGTGAAGCAAATCTTATGTTTATATATAAAAACGTAGTGCTGTATGCACCTTGTTACTCATGTAGTAAATTAAATATGCTACATAAGTAACAAGGTGAATACATGTATATCCTACATACAGCTCTGCGTATTTTGCCCAATTATTTTGTATAAAGCATTTCAATGAAACGCTAACCGGGACTCTAAATAATATTCTATGGTTAACCATGTTGACTGTCAATTAGATTTTTAAAAAAGGGTTTTCGAAAGATGTTTTAAATGTCTTTTACACATATCAATGGGAATTTGCTTACGCATCTTTTTGCTTAGCGATTTATTGGAAAATGTATTAACACTAGGCAATCTAACAAAATGTTTGCCTCAGAAGCGTCCAATACAGCAAATATATTGGATAGTCACATAGTATAATTCAGGAAGGAAAGAAAAACGGGTAAAAATTATTTCACAAAATAAAATGAAAATATTTTGGACTCTTTGATTATTTGTTACTTGTTGCATAAACAAACACAATTACATTATTCAAGTCACAAATTTTTGATGATTGCTAACGTTTATAGATATTTCAATTGGCATTACGTTCTGAATATGACAATATGACAATAATTATAGATTATTCAAGGGGACTTAACTGTGGTTTGCTGAAATGACGGGACTGGAAATATTGTTTCCTGGAGTTGTTTATCATTTGATGCAGATCTGGACAAGTAACTTGTGTGCAAAGTTTAAGATCATTCTTTTACCCGTTATTCCACAAATAACTATTTTTATTGCGCAAAATGACCCGAAAGTGAAAAAAAAGTTACAACGCTTTTCAATCAACTGGGACTAGGAATCGTATAAAACAGAAATTTATTAAATTCTGAGTGCTTTTTTATTATTCTTTTCAGATTGTTCTGCTTGAAGTACTTCGCATGATCTGTGTAGAGTTTCAAATTCTATATATTTTTCGGATTTTTAATCTAGGTGAAGGTCATTTTGATTAAATGTTGATTTGTACAATTGTATAATACGGACATATTTATCTGCCTATTCATCATATCTATTCATTTTATGTGTTCCTTTTATCATGTTAGATAGGAAAAGCATCGATCGGTTGCCAGAATAAGGATTAGTGTCTCTCCTTGAACGACCTTTGGGCTTGTTATGATATTTCCCAAGATATAATTAATCCTTAACTTTGTGCATGAAGTCATGCAAAAATCGAACCTAAAATTTCTCTGGATTTGATTAAACTGATAACTTTAAAAGGACTAAAGTACTGTCTTTTGTTGTGATTGCGAAATAAAGTTTTGTTCCATAAAAATGCTTTTTGTTCTCGTCCTCTTTTTTTTTAAAGAAATCAAAAACAACAAAGAAAAACACAAAAGGCAACAACGACAACAAAACTAATTTTATTAGTATAATAGAAAAAAAACCTATTCAATCAATTTGATTTTTCATATTTCTACAGGAAGTGAAACACTTCAAGTAATTTTTACTACAATGACAATTTAAAACTTTTTTAATTCACCTTTTAAAATAGTAACTTTAATAAAGAGGGATACAGTAAAATATGATTATTCGTGAAAATGATTATCAAGTTTAAAAAAAATACCAGAAAAGTCTTTATACACTTTAAACAAATTTTCATCAAAGTCAATAAAAATCTGGAAACAAAGTGATCCCTCGGAAGCATTAATCACAACAAAATTACAAGAGAATTGCATATTTTAGATAAAATACAAACATTAAATCTAAAAGCACTTTCAATGTTATATGTTTGTGAAGCACATCTTGTCTTTTCGTTCTGTATCTCAACAATTAGTTTGGTGTTGACACTGTGTTGTTCTTACTACTGAATTTTTCATTGCCATTTAACGTAGAAACACGCGCCCCGTTCCTGCAAACAAAACATAATAATAAGAATCTTACACTGGCTGCCGGTACAGACCGGAATCAGTTTTCGTAATTTCATTTCCGAAAATAATTTACATTTAATATGCAAGAGAAAGAATCAAACACTGGCTGTCGGTACAGACGGGAACATCTAGCCCTATGGTAACTGTTTAGTGGAAACTCAGCATAGCCTCGTTACCGCTGTAAACAGTTACCCTCGAGCTAGATATTCCAGTCTGTACCGGCAGCCAGTGTAAAATTCTTATAAACGGTAGATAATCCTGTAGGATATGCAAGAAAGAATAGGATTATGCGACAACGGTGAAAAATTTCAACGTAAAATTTTTTTTTTTTAAACAATCGATATAATACATAATCCTGAATAGATCGCTCGCCCATTTAATATATGATGTATTATTGGTATGAAACAAATGTTACATTTTTCATAGTAATTCATTACATTGCAGTCATGTGTATACGTAATTGTGTTAAATTGATGTCTTGTTCTTAAAGAGATAGATCTTACAAGAATTGTAAAGCCTCTTTTGTAGAGAATTTTGATGATTCTTAACTCCTTTATTTATTCACTTTCCCATAATATTTTTTACTTTTTTTATTATAAATATTATCAAATTGAATATTATTATTATTAATAATAATAATAATAATAATAATTATTATTATTATTAGAATGGACAGTATAATATTATTGTCCCCATTTCATCTTTAAAACCAAAAGATCATCTGTACCTTTTCTTCTTCTTCTTCCACATAAAGACAAATGCAACTATACAGCATAACAAAAGAAACGCTCCAAGGACTGAACCTACAATAATGTACGTTTTTCTGGCGTCCGTATTTCCTGAAACTGTAATATACAGGATTACATACACAATACAAGGAAACATATTTATTTATGAAGAAGTGATTTACTGCAGCAATTAATAATTGTTTTGCACATTCTATTGACTGAATATTTTTTCTACAAATCAATAACTTAAAAAAATTAACAAAACGCTTGCAGTTATTGTCCACTACAAAGATTGTAAAATACGGACAAATATTCGGAAAAATACGTAGCAGATAGCCGAAGAAATCAGCTCGTTGAATATGCTTTCTTTTCCCAACATTATGCTTTCAGTCTTATTTATTATATACTTTTATTATTTTGCAGAAAGGCAATATGATATTAAATTGCGTATTCAGGAAGAAAAAAGATTGTGTACAATATTATTCCGTTTTAGAAACCTACTATTATGGTATGACCAGTTTACCACTCTAATAGACACATTAAGAAACTGACAATTTTTTTAGATGTTCTTATAGATTGTCTAAGTTACTGGTAGAAAATCGTTTTACAGTATTATTATAATTTTTTTTGACTTTAAAAAAATCAGTTGACAGTATTTGTAGCCTACTTAAATACTCTTCAAAGCGGAGGTATTGCATTACGATGGTCATGCCCTAATACATATCATCCAGTCACATAGTAAAAAGCAGAAGTATATAAGGATAAAGAGAAAATGCGCAATATCACTATGATTATTTTCATTAGACTAAGTGTTTTTTAAGAAGAACATTAAAACAATATCGAAGATCGAAGAATTCTAACGATTTCTACTCTCATTACAGTTAATGTAATTTCATTTAATTTAAAAGAGTTTTTTCAAATATAACCTGTTGCGCTCGTTTGTCCGTTTGAACAAGAATACGACCCGAGACTGTTTGTGCATGTCAGTGTGCCATTACAAGGATTTCCTTTGCACTCGTCGATGTCGTCTTCACAGTTATCTCCCAGCCAACCGGAAGTACAATTGCAATAGTAAGAGCCATTCGTATTCACGCAGTTTCCGGCATTCAGACATGGACTTGCTAGACACTCATTTATGTCAACATCACAATTGGAACCATTCCATCCTCTTTTACAGTGACATTCATACGATCCTAAGGTATTATTACACGTTTGTCTAACGGAGCATGGACTTGACATGCATTCGTCAACGTCGTTGTTACAGTTTCTTCCCGTCCAACCAGAGGAACATTTGCAATGGTAGGAGCCGTTTGTGTTAAGACAAGTTCCAGCATTGAGACAGGGCGGAGGTGATAATTTGCATTCATCTATATCTACATCACAATTAGTGCCATTCCAGCCTGCATTACAGTGACATTCATATGACCCCAGTGTGTTATTACACGTCTGTCTATTTTTACACGGGTTTTGCGAGCATTCATCAATGTCATCTGTACAGTTCGCTCCCGTCCAGCCTTTTTCACACGTGCAATTGTAGGATCCCGCCGTGTTCGTACAATTTGTTGCGTGCTGACATGTATTTGCCAAACATTCATCGATATCTGTCGTACAGTTGTTTCCCTTCCAGCCTGGTAGACAAGTACAAAGATAAGAACCCGGTGTGTTAAGACAAGATCTGTCTTTTGGGCATTGATTATGAGGAAGAGCACATTCGTTTTCATCACGTGTACAGTCAGGATCCGTCCAACCTGGAGCACAGCGACACCGATGGCCCGATTTGGAGATAATACCTTTCAGTAAAACAATTATAATAAACATAAGAGATGTAGAGTTCTATATAATTGGTAAAAAGTCTCATGACTTGCTAAACTCATCTCGAGTTTCTAAGTATAATTATTTCACATATTTGATTCATTTTTTTTTGTGTGATGGTATTAAAAATGAAAATGGTCATATAATAATCAAAAGCAAAAATAAAGTATATAGCCGTTCTGAAAACAGCATGCTTCGAGATTCATGTTAATTTTCATGAACATTTTTATAATGTATTTTACATTACATGCTAGTAAGGGGGAAAACTCCACAGTACATTTTAATGAAGTGTATATGACATGCAAATGTACTATGTTTATCTATAATTTCTTGGATTTATCATAAAAATCACACTTCACTATGTTTTTTTTCAGTTGTAAAATCTTTAATTATATGTATTGGACTGTTATGTAGAACAGAATCCAAATATTTCTTGCCTCAATCAATTAACCATCAAATTTGTAAACTTGATTTCTTTCTTTTGTTATAAATTAGCAAACTATAAATCCGAAAACATAAAAGTTGATTATCTTGGGCACAAAACAAAATAATGCAAATGATTATTAAGAAATATACCCAGAAATGAAGAAATGTGTGCAATTCTTAGCCCGATTTGAGTGAAAACCGTTGCAACACTTTCTTTTTAAATTTTGAGTCATTTTCGCAATTAGAATAATTATTTTGGACAAACGATCTGAAAATATTGGTCTAGACCAACATCGTATGGGACATAAATATCGGACAATAATTTTCAGTCTAGTCATGTCAAAACTTAAGTGGATCAGTTATTAAAACACTATCAAATCAAAACTTTTCAGTAAATTGAATGTAAGATGACATTTATATTTATGCTCTAATCGAATTATGTAACATTTATAGATATGTACATGTAAAAGCACTGAATCTTGATATATCTTACATATAACCTATTATGTAATTGGTGAAATCGTACTATTGTAAGTCAGAAGAAATTATCCCTGTAATTGTTGAAATAAATGTTTAAAAATGTTCAAAACTGTTTTGTTAATTAAGATCAGTTACATAAATATTTTGTCAGTTAACTGAAAAAAATATCGTATTGTTGATAACAATGGTTATTCACTGCCTAACTGCCATTATGATGATATTTGATAAATGATGTTTAGATATTACAACCTTTTGTGTGTTAATGTATTTAGAATGATGGACATAAAATTTTCATGTCTTATTTCTGAATAAAGTATATATAAGTTATATATACAACTATGTTGGTTGAAAGATAATATTTACATGCCTATTATTAATAAAAACAAACGAATTACTTTTTAAACAAAACAAACCTGTATTTATTACATTTAATGTTCTTTACTATGGACATTTATTTATATATGTATTTAGTTTTGCAATTGAGCAAAGATTCCATACAGTTGGAAGTTGTTTAATTTATGTAAAAATTAATGTAATAGTCTCAATTTGGCACTTACTGTTCTTCCAGTACTTACCAGTATTTCGAAAGACACACACTTTATGTGGCCCGCACGTCGTACTAAAATATAAAACATGACAATTTAATATTATTATAAGCAGAAAAAAGGTTTCTCGTGCATACCTTTGTTAAAAAATTAAGAACAATATTAAATTGTCGTTTGAAGCAGTTAATTGTCACCAAAATCTGCGCACAGTGAATAAATCATTAACTTCAGCTTACAATAAAGTCTTGAATCCTTTTAATAATATATAACAATATTGTTATATGTACGTAACAATTGTAATTCCAAGAGGTGCAAATGTTGTACCTGTTGATAGCACAGGTCAACAGAAACTCTTGTAAAAAATGACTACATGTTATGGATTCATTTATAGATTTTCATTTCAATTTCATGTTGATTTTAAAAATGAGAACAAATAATAATAAGGCATGACGGCGTTCACAGAATGGACTTTCGATACAACCCAATTTTACAAAAACGAAATATACTAAGTTTGTATACATGGTTTTCGTTAGAGACATTATAATATAAAATTTACTCATTGAGGCATTCATCCTGGCACCATTCACCACCCCAACCTTCATCGCACTTACGAACAGTCGTTGAATTATCTTTAACGCTACAATGATCTCCTTCGCCGGTCCATCCCTCATGGCATGCACATCTGAATGAATATGACATAATCATGTGACCTACATATCTTAATATTAACACTGATGTCATGTCTTGAAATTTACAATTTATAAAAAAACATTGAGTTTCAAAAAAGCTGTTACATGTATTATGAATACAAATAAACCTTACTTCAGTCGTATTGTAATAAAATATCCTCCTTTTAATTTCATGTGAGAAACATGTTATTTTACCGATAACTTCCAAAGGTGTTGTAACACTTTCCACGATGAAAACATGGTCCTCCCCCGTGACATTCATCTTCATCGACGTTACACTCATTTCCCTTAAAATATTTGAAATATAACAAGTAGGCGTTAGTAATATGTTTTTCATCTTGCTGACATTCCTATACTGCTAGTGCGAATCTGATACATCAAACTACGTCAATAACAACTCGATTAATGTTAGCCTTCGCCACTTTTTAAGGGTATCGTCTACATACACAAACATGCTGACTTACCTTATATCCACTTAGACACATGCATGTGCTTCTAGCAGCGTCTCGACATCGTGCATCGTGGTAACATGTCCTGTTTCCACATTGTGTTATGTTCTGAGAGGCAGATGGAATAAGTTCTAATTTTGCTACCTGTTAATAATTACAATAATATTTAAATTTTATTGGCTTGGTTTCCTTTTTCAAATTAAAAATCTTTATCATAATGTTATAAAATATATAAAACTTTTTTTAAAAAGTCTGAAAATGAATTTACTGGTCATTATTGATATAACGATGCAGTTGTTAGTTTCTAGTGTCTAAATAATATGATTTAATGAAACTATGAAAAAGAGATCAAATGTATGCTTTAATTGTCAAAAATCTATAAAGAAAAAAAAATTGCTGTATTCCATTATTCTATTATTTGTTCTAATATTTTAGCTTGTTAAACATTCATCCAATTAATGGAATGCTTACCATTAATTCCTAACCCATCTTGGATGTAGACACGCGTCTCAATAATTTCGAAGGAACAAAAATCTGCCAGACAATATTTAAGAAAGAATGAGGTCAATTAAAGTGTAATTAGATTGCCTGCTGTATGAACATATGTTTGAACTCATTAGGACTTCTTTTATATCGAGATATTTTGAGCGAGATAACGACATTGTTCACTGAATCGTAAAAAGCCATGGTTTTCGTCAAAGGCATATTAATATAAACATTACACATGCTGTTATTCCCTAAAAATGCCAACCTAAAAATTCAAAAGCGAATTTATGACAAATTGGTAATAACTCTGAGGATGTCATATGTTTTTTTGTATGTTTTTATAAGGAAAGCTTGTGGATATTATTGCGCAAATCGTCAAAATGGTGAGCTACAAGTACTACCACGTTTTTGCATGTTTTTTTTTCTCTTTTTGTTGATGTTTGTTTGTTTGTTTGTTTTTGTTGTTGTTGTTTGTTTTTTATTTGTTTCTTTGTTTATTAAAATATAAACGTTTTTGTCAACACTAATCTGGATCATCGAGTAATACATTAAATAGCAACGACTCGTTGTCGTTGATGAATATCTCTTACATACCTAGGAACATATCAATTAAAATTACATTATGCTCATATTTTCATAGTCAAGTTGGGTTGAACTGACTATATATTTAAAATGACTGACTGTTAAAATGTTGATTGACCAACAGTTCAAATTGAAAAAAATGTTTAGGATCAAATTCAAATCTGCCTAAAATATAAAAAGACTGCCCCACTCTTTTTATGAACTGAACGTTACAGGTATATTCTAAGGGATATATACGACAACTTCGTTTGAATACGTCCGTCGTTTATTTTTAATGCGAAGTAAATGTTTATATTAATAGCAATTATGGCGCAATGAAAACTTATTTTGACTTTCACAGTCCTGTTTAATCAGTTATACCCTTGGATGGGCATAATGTCACTTTGAAATACAATGAAGCTAGATAATATCTTTATACAGCACAAAGATATTTTGTATCGACAGAGCTCTGTGTCATCTTTAAACCGTTTTAAGATATAGCCAAATATTGCTGAAAATCATAGGGATTTTGCATTTTAATTTTTTTGGTATTATAAGTAGACAATTGTGTATAATTCGAGGCGAAATAACCGAATGATTTTGACAGTTCACATGACAATTATCTATTTCAAGGAAGAGACAGTAATGATAAAACTATTGTTTTCTCTCTAAAAATAAGTAATACTTAGTTATCTCTTTCCTTTTTTAACAAATCATCAATATACAATCTCAGATTTTCATCTTTCGTGTTTACAAGGATTGTTATCCGTGAGAATATAGTTGTAGTATGATCATTTGTTTATGTGTGACAAAATTTAGCATATCATATGAATTGGAAAAAAGGAGCAAATCTATAGTGTTATTTTACCCTTTTGTTACAAGCAATACTGTTGTTTTATAATTTATTTGTAAACATAACTTTTACGGTTTATTTAATACCGACTCCTATTTTGAAAGATATTATGATGTAAATGAAAATAACTCTCGTTGACAAGCAGTATCTCGAATTACATTATCGTCACATGATTTAAAAATTGAAGATGGAAGATTTGTTGGAATCGACAGAACAAAATCTTATTTGTAAACTGTTTAGTTAAAATGTTGAAAATAAATATCAGTTTTGATTGTTAGTCTTTTTATATAGAATAACTCTATGATACATATTTATTCCTTTGCTAATCTGAATGCTTACCAGTAAAACTAAAGGAACTGTTAGAAATGTTACCACATTAATACATGCGCTATGAAATTAATAATAACTGTTGCCTAATAAAGCTCAGTTGCTGTTCCAATTAGTTAATAGTGTCACTGTTTTTAATCACAAATTCATATTTTTATATTTTATTGTTGTATACACAAAATTGATGCATATATTTTGTCTTCTTATACATGTATTATATTCCGTATTTCATGTCGATTTTACCAAATTAACTTGTTGTTCTCAGTTTTATTCTAGCTCGGGTCACATTCAACCAGTTGTTGCTGGTGGTAGTAGGTATAATTGTTGTTTTATATCTGCTATGATATGATATTTAAAAAAAGCAACGCAGGGTATGTAAGTACATTTCGAAAGTATTGCACTTTCTATAAATTTAGGTCCTCAATCATTCACCTTATGACATATGTGATGCACATAACAATACACGTACTTATTGTAATCGAGAAACATATTTGGGACATTTATTGAATTACAAATATTTACCTTGAACAGTACAAAGGCAGTTAACATCCAAATTAAGATCATTTTGATATATATTTTCTCCATCTTCAGAAAATACTACATAGATATACAGTTATATATGTCCTTAAATTCATATAATTTTTGAAAATGTTTTTTTATCGGTGTCTTTCTTTTTTAATTACTATTTTTAATGCATTCCGACTCCTTAATATTAAAATTTCCTACATGTCCTATATGGGTCGCAATGCCTTCGGATGTGTTCAATGTGTTGCGTAACCACTTAATTTATATCTAAAGATTTGCGTTCCCAACGATAAAAATATCAAAATATGGGCCATTCGTTGAGATTAGTCGTACAAAGTATTTCGACGTATGTGCATATAATTGTCGTATTATTCTTTTTTTCAAATTGAATCATTCCTTTTATTACATTCATTGTATATAAGTCTTACAAAAGCCTCTCGTCTGCAAGATAACACGTAAACACTCTTCATTTTTGTTTTTTTATTAAATCTGAACATCTTTTTCTGAGGACTAGCTCTATTTACATAGATGGATATGTATAAAAATATAAAATGTAAAGTGTCATAAGAGTTAATTACGATTCATTTTTAGTCTTGGCAAATATTTGATAGTCGAAAGTACTGTCTTATCTTGCAGGTGCAAAATTGTGTCATTCAAATAAAGATTAACTGGTTTAGCCTCGTTTCAAAAGGTGTTTGTGTTTTGAAAGTTTTAAATCGGTTTATTGATAATATTTGAATAAATTTGATTTTAATTTCAATATATATTTATGTTCTTAAGTATTCAATAGAAAGAGGTTTATTCGCGACTTTCAGGTCTAAAATACTATTTATAAAACTACTTTAAGCAGTTTCTTAGGGGTTTTTTTACAAGACCGATTTAACGAATGGCCAGTTACAATACTATGCCATGCATATCTCATTTTGGTTATATAATCTGAATATTATATTTATGTATTGGATGGCTAATGCAGAATCAACTGTCTGAAGAGTGTTCATTTTCAGTGAGGATACTGAAATGAAGAGTTTCGTAAGTGCGTGGTTTCAAAATAGAGAGAAATAAGAATCCTTAAAGAAAGCCCAACACGGCAAAACTGAAAATGTTGCAGGCTCGGTTTGATTGAGCCTGTTCATGGACGGTAACCCATGCCTCTTCAAACCCCAGATCTCTTCCAATTTTTGTCTTTTTTTTTCTTCTTTTGTTTGGCCCGATTTTGATTTAAATCTAAAATTAAGAAAGAATTAAACTTTTATTCATAATTTTTACAGTGTATTGTGTGAAATTGGATAGGGTAACAACTTTAAATGATTATGATTTGAAATAGGCATGGTAAACTTTCTTTATATCTTCCACAAACGTTTAGATTTGTACCAAGATAATGATTATTAAATAATATTCTGATTTCCCTATTTTATATGACAAATTCTAGCATGTTTTCTTCAGTGGTAACTAACATTTATAGTCTACCGATTTCACTTCAGTATATAAAAAATAACACATCTTTAAGCGATCAGTTTTAATTATAAACATTTAATTAATGAATATACATAACATTGTTTTCATTAAATAAAGATATAAAAAGAACGTTGAGTGTAGGAAAAACAATTAGAAGTCCATATAGGTGTCAGTTTTTAAAATATTAATAACTTAATTATGCGATTAAAACATATAACTTATTACTTTTATTGTAAGTTAATAAAGATTATATGAAATGTTGAATACTGCTTAAGCCGGTGCTAGGGGTCGTGGACGGTGACTTGCACTTTTCATTACCATCCATGAACATGCTCGATCAAAGTGAGTCTGCAACATTTTCAATTTTTTCTTTTTGTGCATTCTGTAGATATTCTTTATTACTCTATATTTTACGTATTTCATACTTTACTTGTACGTGTATCGAAGGTGCGATGTAGTTCGCATGGGCATAAATAGACTAGTTCTGTTTTTATCTTTAAGAGCTCGTTAAATTTAAGATATTCCTATCTTTAAGCCTCTTAACAACTTCATAGGGCAATAGTTATTCATTTAAAAGAGGCCATTCAGATAGCCTAATCAAATGAACCCAGATTTTGGAAACTGCAACAACTTGCTACTAGTTTCCGCCTTAATTCACCTCCTTTAGTGCCCTTTCAAACATCTTTTTTTATTTTATTTTGTTTTTGTATTTTTTATTTTCTTTGCCTCTTTCATATTTGGTGCCCAAATCGATGTCCTGTAATGGGAGGATATTGTTACGATATCTTTCCATAAAAGTTGGTTAATCTAGTAAGTCATTATATTTTAATCGTATTCAACGCGTTGAGTTTCTAAAACAAAATGAAAAGGTAAATAAACGACAGAGAGAATCATCCTACAACTTAAGAATGAAAAGCATGGGTTGACATAATTTATTATATGTCGAGCTCCTTTGTTTTCGATGAGCCAAATGATCGACTAAGAACTGTTGCGGTTCGTTGAGATGCTATTGCGAGTATTTATTACAGGCAAAACGAGTCATGTAACAAAACAAAAAAAACAAACAAAAAAAAACAACAACAACAACATAAAACTATATGAAATTATCCTTTTTTAATATTGCAATGATATTCTTACTTCAAGTTAATGAATTCAAATATTTCCTTGCTTTCTTACATGATCTGTTTTTCTTTAAAATACCGGCTGATAAAGTGTTCGCGCTATCAGAACTCTGAGGCTGCGCGCTCATGGTATCACCCCTTGTATTTATTGATAGATATGTGTAGGCGATACACGCTGACCGATTAGTATACACGAAATTTGAATTAATCACTACTTACATTTTTATTCAAACATTTTCGTAGACACGTAAAATTTTATCTGTTGATAGACTCTGCGTTAAAAGCTCCATTGAAAACAATCGTCATCTGCCCAGTGGAAAAATGTCGTTGCGGATTGGCAAATGGAGTCCCTTAACATGGAGTCTTCCTCTGAGAGTATATCTGGAATTTCTCCTTCTGAGCTTTACTGTATTGATGCGCCGTGAAACTCAATAAAACAGATGACGCTCGCCTAAAACATATGACCGTCAATTGCCGTCATCGCATCGGTGTAAGCCGTCTAACACTGATGCGATGCTTTGTGCATGTCGTATGCAAATGCCACGGTTTTTTTTAAAATGAATTGCATATTCATAAGGCAAATGTGACTAACCTATCGGTCCAAATTAATTGCAGATTCGCCAAAAGTTCGTTGTTTCCCATTCCTGACAATATCAAGAAAATGCCTGTTGCCATATGCCCGTCTGGCATGTGTATTAGTCAGTTCAAAGATTTGTTCGTGTTGTATATCCTCTCTAAAAAGCGCAATTTTCTGGAGGCAAGCGAAACACGTTCAAATTTTATAAAAACTCGTTCAGGATTGGCCGAAGCAATAGCTCCTAGGCTAATACTCATGCCACGCTTGTTTCTTGTTGCAATATTTCTTTTTAGTTCCCATTATTACTATATTGTTCCATTTTCTGAAGCCAATCGTGACTTACCTTTTCGTGCGATTTCGTGTCGGTTTGGCATTGCAAATAGCTCGTAGTCCACAACGACAGATTAGATGAAGCTCACAAAATGAACATAGGCGCCAGACACCAGCTTTGGTGCAATTATAAGTTAATCATGTATAAAAACTTTACAAATATTCGATAAGTCGATTTTTTTTAAGAATAGTTGTGCGGGGACGCGAACAACAGTTCGCTTATTAGAACCCTATATCAATAAATATAACGCTTCCTGGCCCCGCTGTATTACAATTAAATTTCGAGTTTTTGCTCCACGCCCTCGCTAATAAGCGTGTTTTTGCTCGGCGTCCCCGCCATTTTAATTTGTTAATTCTGGCAGGGTCGCGGGAAGAAAACACGAAATGGCACGAATCAGCCATCAAAGTTAAGAACAATATAGGGCACATAGGCTCGCCATTGAACTTCAGTCGTCAGATGCCTGGGTAGTATTGGCGCAACTTAGGCGATGCTTTGTTCTTTCTTTATAAAAACCATATGATTTCTTGTACAGAAGCGTCATTTTCTGTAGGCAATAATAACCTATCCGTTACGCCAACAAGATGCTAGGTGTCGAGCATTATGTATATGACAATATATATGATATATGGGGGTTCTACGATATAACTCAATTTTTATGCCCCAAATTGAGCACAGACATCAAAAAATCGTTGAAACAGCAAAAAAAAATCAGACAATACTGCAATACATATATATCGTAGTATCCGGGGTTTGTGTAAAAAATAACCATTCACTCATATATGTGTATCCTATTCAGTCTTGCAATCTCTTGCCTTAAAGGTTTAAACATGTCTATGTATTATGTTTCAACCTAACTTATATCGTAGAACCCCCATATATCATATATATTGAAATAAACGTTTCTTTAGGCATATGTGATCTACACATTGGTTCGATTTCGTTGTAGACCGGCAATTGCTCGAAATGTCCCGTTCACGACAATATAAAGGACATGGAGACGCCGAAGAACAATGACTGCTAAATGCTAGCTCGACACTGGTGTAAGTCGTAGCGATAATTTGTTCATTCAACTAACTAGCATTACAAGCACAATCTTCTGAAAGAATCGTGACCGACTCTTTCGTAAGATGGCGTCGCGTGTGTGACATAATGCAAGGTGGGTCATTTATAACTTCCTCCACTAGTTAAACTGTAACAATATGAAAAACAAGATCATCAAGGAGGGGCGTCGTTGAATGAGCGAACCCCCCACACGACCAAACAACACAAGACCACCGGCCAGAAGCCCAGCAGGACACCACACAAAAGGAGGACAGGGCACAAGGTCTCAATATGAACGCTTCTGTGTTGGCATACTGTAAAAGTCTGTAAATGATCCAATGTTTCGTATATTCATATTGCATAAATTGTACAATATAATGCCCTTTGGCTAGAGAAAAATACTATTTTTTATCCTTTAAATATCATACTAAGTTCATCACTTAGAACTTTGATTACTTAATTCTTTGGGATATTTGTTAAGTTCAGTGGTTCAGTGTAAGATTGGAATATATATCTCACCGAGTGAGCACCAAATGGTATATCTCACGAGTGGCGCAGCCACGAGCGAATTATGAACTTTTGGTGTTCACAAGGTGAAATATATTTCGATCTTACACTAAACAAAACAAATTTTCTTTTTATTATAAAGAAACGTTTAAAAAGACATTAAACTTAATACTGAATGAAAAGCGCGCCAAATAATAATACAACGTGACGTCATTTTCGACGTCACATCATTATGTTGTTTCCCAGTACTGTGCACGCTTGTATTGCACTGAAACAACGTAATGGGCTTTAATTAAAAACAGTATTAATTGATAATTTCACTGTTTATAACAGAGAAATTATCAGTTTTAAATCACTGATATATTTCTATATACCACCGGAAAGCATGTTATAAAAATGTTCATATGAACGAAGGATTCAATTTGTTAGATAAAAAGTCAGCCCAAAACAAGGTGTTTGTCGGTACGATTATTCTATTACCCCGAACAAAAATACTGTGATGATCTGAAATTGTCAACTAAATCTAACTGTAACAAAAATAAACCAAAAGTAACAATAACTAAACTGTCCTTACCTTTTAAGTTTTAAGTGTACTTTAGGCCTACTTGAGATGTTTTCTTTTTCTTTTATTCTTTCAGCAAGTGATGATATCTACAAATCATAAACATACAATAAGCTAGGTTTTATTTAGAAAACAAAACACTAACCCGTTTACACGGTTATGATCTGTGAAATCTGATCCTTCTTTTTCCAGAATATTCTTAGCATGGTTTTTGACAAAATAACGATGATATCCTATGTTTGTCCACCATATCTGTAACGTTTCACTGATTAAAATTGTAAAATAATCCTTTGTTGCATGCTTAAATCGTCTGCATGTTCCAGTTTGACACATAATTAATTACATTGCAATTACTTCCGTTGAAAACGAATGTTCACTTTTTGACTATTCAACAAAAAGATATTTTATACGCGAAAAGCACACCAGGTTGCAAACAACTAAATTTTATGAGTGTCATAGTTACTCCAGAGAAGAAATTGATGTCCAATCGGGGTTTAACGTTGAAAATAAGAATGAACCGAGAAAAAAATGGCGGCCATTTTATTTCATTTTATTTAGAAAATAGACCACGTGACCAGATTTTATACTGTTAATAAATACTGTTACCTATGTAGCGATTCAAAATTCTTAGTCACGTGGTACACTTGCATTAACAGTAAAAATAACTCCCAGAGGCCTATGGGAAATTAGCATTACGAAAAAAGTGAGGGGTAATAATAATAAATAATATAGGTGCTTCATTTTTATTAGGTTGGATGAACATTCTTGAATGGCACAAGATGTTACTTTTACTAGATTTTCTATAAAGGCTATGAATGAAATTGCAATTTTCGAATTTTTATCAATATTCATCAGCTTTGTAGAAAAAAAATCGGTGTGCTGTAAATGAAGGATTGAATGGCTCTTTCACGTTTTTTACATTTATAAATTTTTGTATGAAGATGCACTGTCATGGCGGCTGTAAACAGGCAAAACTTCCCTGTCAAAAATGATCAATGTGCATATGCTAACATTCCAATTGTTTAAAATGCACATGTATCATTTCATATATCTTTCTGTAAATTATGCCTGTTTGCTCTGTCTTTCTTTCAGAATTTCATAAATATTCAGTATCAAACATAAGCACTGTTTTTCGTGTAACGTCTTCCATAGTGTGGGCAATCAAGGAATTATACGGAATGGCATTTTTATGTGATCCTTGCATGGTATTTTATGTGACCTTGAATATTTACGAATAATCTTACAAGTAAAATTCTGTAAAATTTTATATAAAAGAAATTAATAACAACAATAAATGTGAGAAATTCTTAATATATTGTATAGTACTAAGTATACAAAATAAAAAGTTAGAATGCTATTTAACAGATAAAACAGATTAAAATCCTGTTTCTATTTCAAAACAATTCGTAATAGCTAAGACACATTTTAGAAAGGTTAATTCAAAAGAAAGCTCTGAGTAGATATTTGTTTTAGCACATATATGAGTTAATGTCACGAATAACTAATGTTATAGTCAAATACCACTGTTACATTTGCTCACACATTTCAATCTATAGACTAGGCTAAAAACGCCATAGTGGATTTTGTATTCGCTTGAAGTACCTCTTTATCTTCCTTAACCAATACTTTTGCTGGGGTACCACTTCTTTCTTATTATCATCTTGCGGCACATGAATGTCATATTCTTCTTCAATTTGATACACATCTTGATATTCCTGCACTTCCTCGGCCTCATAATCATTTTCATCACAGGATTCTAGTCGCATACTATGCTGTTCAGGTTTGTCTTTGCGTGTTTCATTGCAATGGTTTCCTTTTGCTTTTTGCAATGATCTGTTTAGATTTGGACGACCATGCTGCTGGTGCAAATGCACGTGGAATTCCATGTTTTGCTGTTGTTTTATATGAAAGTTCTTCTGCTGGCTTTTTTGCTCTTGACCGTCGTTATTCTGATGTTTTTGTTTAGGAATGATCTGCTGTAACTGTCTTTGCGTTGACACGTCTGCCTTTACTGTCACAGTGGCATTTCCATGTATTTTGTCACTATCAAGAAATTTATAAATATTTCATTAAGAATATAAAGCCTTCGTATAGCATATTAAATTATAGTTTTAGTTTGATTTGAACAAGATAAATTGGTATTACTTAATACATAAATTGTTACACACGACTCGATGAAATGCATAAAAAAACTAAATACATGCATTTGTAGCATATAAATCATGTAACTGTAATATTGAAAAAGATATTAATACCATTTCAACTTCATTACTCCAATAAAGGCGGCGACACTCAGCCCTAAAAGAAATGAAATTAGGGCGGTTCCTGTTATAATATATGTTGTTCTTGTATTCCACATATCTGTAAAAAATATGCATATATTTTTAAAATACGCTTCAAACAACGATAAGTAAAACTTCTTTAACACGTCTACTAATTTTGACTTTAAAAGCAATAATGATAGCAACGTGCATATAATGCGCATACTTACATGTTTCACACTATTGTCTTATAAAACAGTGCATCTGAATCATTAGTTTATTACAAATGCACGGCACAAAAAATGCTTGCACATCTGATATGTCGTCAGATATGATGTCAATAAACTCAATACCGTCATGAATAATGACTTCTCCGGTCAATAAAGTTGACTTTTATTTATTAATTTGCTGCAACAACGCAGTAATAATTGATATCAATGGTTAAATGAGGCTAATAGCATGTACGATTGTATAGAATATGTCACATAAAATGCATGTCGTTGTGTCAGAAAATATACTAGTATTTTAAAGTTGGAATCAGTTAAAAAAGCTATTTTTTTAAGTATAGAGTATAAGAGTGACGAAGACTAATACTATTTTTATATCGCGTTTCATACATATATGTTTATATGATACGATATTAACGAATATATCGTTAATGATTACGCACAATACACACTTCAACTAGATATCATTTTGACAGAATAATGTTAAATAACAGCATTTGCCATGGATTGTTTATTTTATAAATTATCTGAAACGAATCTAAAACCGCAAGAAGGACATGTAAATGTTACATCACTTAGAAATGATAATGAAATTCAGTTTTGTCACGAACTAACTGACATTTCAATAATACTTGAATATAGATTTATACACTGTCAAACAGTTAATTAAAGCCTAGGTAAGCAAACATTAATGCATGTACCTGTCCAGCAACTTTGTGCGTTGATGCACGAAAATGATCCAGGACTATTTTGGCAAACTGATGTGGAATTGCATGGATTATTATCGCATTCATTGATGTCTATGTCGCAGTTATACCCTTGCCAAACAGAGGCACAGTTGCATTTGTAATGACCAAAAGTATTGACGCACGTCCCGTTATTGTAACATGTCGATTGTTTACATTCGTCAATATCGACGTCACAATCGGCTCCTTGAAATCCTGGATAACACCTGCACTCAAATGATCCTATAGTATTGTTACACATCTTAATTGCTGAACAAGCATTCAACTTACACTCATCTATGTCGTGAGCACAATGTTGACCTTCCCAACCTTTCGCACAACTACAGTTGTAATATCCTTGTGCATTTATGCAAGTTGAAGAATGCAGACACGGATGTTCTAAACATTCGTTAATATCCATATCACAGGTACTCCCCGTCCAACCTTTATTGCAAGAACAGTTGTAATAACCCTGTGCGTTGATACATCTTGACGTGTGCTGACATGGATTATCTAGACATTCATCTATATCTTCGTCACATTTATCTCCTTTCCAGCCTGATATACATGTACATTCATAAGAGCCTGGCGTATTCTTACAGATCGAATAAGTTGGGCACAGGTTGTTTGTGCATTCATCTCTATCAATCGTGCAGTTTTGTCCAAGCCACCCGGATCCACATATGCATTGATGTCTTCCTTCATATTTACCGCAAACTTCATTTTGTTTACACATTGAACTTGAAACATTGTGCAAATATAATGATTTGTTTCGTTTATTATTCATTTAAATGTTTCTCTGATGTTAGCATTATAAAAAAACTTTACATTAGGTCAATAAAATCTGGAAAACCTGTTATTCCTCGGAAGCAAAAAAATAACAATAATATTACATGAAAAGTGCAAACAAGGTTTGGTTATTGCATGCAACATATCCTTACCATCTTTGAGTAACCACTTAACAAGAACAAAAAATAAAGGACTTAAAAAAACGACACACCAATTTCAATGATTCGAACGATCTTTATTAACAGTGAAGTGGCGGTAAGTCAAAATTTTCTTAGAACATTGATATGAATAGAAACAAGCCGGTAAGGAACTACCTACTTGTTTAAACATTTGTCCCGGCACCATTCACCTATCCATCTGGGTGTGCATTCCCAATTTGTTGAATTGATCTTTTGCTTGCAATGACTCTTTTCACCGGACCAGCCTTCTAAACATGAACATCTAGAAGAAAATATTATTTTGGTAATTATATATCCAGCCCTTTAGATTTATACTGTCTCATGAAAGAGTGTAGAGTTCATTGAACGCAGTCCGAAACAATACCCAGGTACAATCGCAAGGCTCACAACAGGACAACAAACGACCACAGTATGATAGAGGACGTTATTTTAAACATAAGAAAGAGGGATCTGAATTATTTGTAATTTCCACTACATGGACACATGAAAATAGATGGAAAAGGCTCAAAAAGGGAAAACAGAACCTGTAATTAGCTGTAAAAAGGCAAAATATCAATAGTTTTGTGCAGGTCATAAATATTTTCTTTTTTTGTTGCTGTTAACATTTTGAATATGCAAATCATTAAGGGAAAGCAACGTTTATAAAACGCAGTCCCACAATATCTAAAATGCCACATAAATACCAAATTGGCACCGAAACTGCAGAGGTAGACAAACGAGAAGAAGCGTCAATTATTACAAAAAAAGTGCTTAAATGAGTATAATTATAAGTGTAGAAATTTGAAGCCGAAGGGGATGTAGGAATATAAGTGAAGAGATGGGGATAAAAATGGAGGGTAGGATATATTTACCACCTCGCCACAATTATGAGAGAACTTTTAGCTTAACTGGTTTAGGTTTCCACCAGGGGTCCCCACCTTGCTTTCATAAGGCAGCAACAATCAATTTATAATAGCCACCTTTCACCCTTTCCCAAAGACTCGGCTCTTTTGACTTTTTCGTAATTCCAAAATCTTGCATTAAACTAGACTTAAAAACATACAATTCCAGAAATTCCATCAGGATAATTTATCTGTCCACTGCTGATTATGACTTGTGCGTTGAAAGTAAATTGATCTTATGAAAACCTGTATACAGATTGTGAAGTATTTTGAAGGACCGGGCGGAATAAAATAATCAGGCTATCTTTGATACTTTCCTTGTAATTGAAATTAAATTATTTATAAGCCACGTTGTTGAAAAAATGATAAATTGTAACCTCTAACCTATAGCTGCCAACACTGTTATGACAGTATCCTCGGTGAAGACAAGGGTCACCTAAAGTACTAGTGCATTCGTCCAAATCATCGAAACAAGTCGTCCCCTATATAGAAATTTTAAACTTTATTATGTATCAAAAATTATAATAATTCAAGTTCAAGTCCTATTTTCCTTCTTCAATTGTTTTCACGCTTACATCGGACAGCACAGACTCATAGAATCTGCTTATAAAAGATTACGCCTTATAGTGTGTGTGTTTTTTGTTGTTGTTTTTTTTTTTGCTCTACATACGATACAGAAAATGTTGTTAGCTGTTTAAGACAAAGAAATAATAAACTGAGGCCCTTGGGTCATATGTTAAATATTTATTATTTCTGAAAATAATATTCGGCACTTCAGACAAACTTAATAATAAAGAAATTTCCTTCTTACTGTGTATCCTACTTTACACATACACGATAAATCTTCTTTACATTTTGCTTCGTTGAAACATGTTATGTTTCCACATTGTACAGTGTCATTTGTATGCGCCATGGATATTGTCCCCGATATCTAATAATATACAAATAAGAGACGTTCACCAGTGAAAATGTGTTATAAATCTGGATCAATTATATTTACTGCGAACTATATGCTTGTAATCCTTTGTTGAACTTTTTTCTTCAATTTAATTTTTTTTTCTTTTGTTTGGAGGCTTGTATAAGCTATATTATCGCAGACTTAAAATGTATTTAAGTGAGATTGTGCACATAGCTTTAAGTGAATAGAAACACACCATCTAATGCCCGTTTATTGTATTTTGTGCCTTCATTTTTTTAAATTAAAATTTGTATTACATATAAGTATATACATCTAAAGATTTAAAATCATATCAAAATAATTAAATCATGTTGTGATCAGAATTGAAGAGTTTAAAATATGCCACGTCAATCTGAAATCCAGCCATATTAAGGTGCAGTTTTATCAACAGAATAAATAGCCTACATAAAAATAACATTTTTATTATTAGAAAATTACCTGAATAACTAAAACAAACAAAGTTATCCGCCAGATATATTCAAAAATATGTATTTTATCCTTTCCCATTTTCAGAACAGTGATATAATATTTACTTTCAAAACGGCTTTGTTTTAAGTTAAAGAAAACAGTCAACCAAACAATAAAGGCGGATAGTTAAACAATTATTGTTAATAAGTTAGCGAATTATATAACATTTGATACATTAGGAACATCGTTTTAAGTACAAAGCTATACCATACTTCAATCATTAAGGGAATATTGAAGTAGTGTGCGTCTACATTTTATTGAACTACATATCAAATATTTATTTTTTTTCCTATCTAATAACCATTAATTATTTTTATTTAGGACAAACCTCTTCAACAGAGCAATAAAGCTGACATTATTCATTCGTGTTTGTGTGCCCTACTTAGTTTAAGATTATTCTTGACATTTGAAAAGAATTAAAAGAAATTAGCAAATGAGGAGAAAAGATCATCTGCACTTAAAAAACTAAATTAAATATTGAATTAATTTTATCTTTTTCAAGTATTGTTGAAGAGCAATATTGATGAATCTGACGCATCAAATATTCCAGAAAAAAATAGATCGGCCGTTATTTGAATAATGTTGAAACAAAGATCTAAATTTCAAACACAGATAAATACATTTGGCAGCTCTGTCCTATAAAGGCCTTTGAGTCAGACATTTAAAGGCTTTTTGAATGATTTGTATCTACTTAAAAGAATACTTGCATTTCACGATTAGTCAATATAGTGAAAGAGTGTAGGCTCAATACTCAATTTATAGAACGAGATGACTTAAAATCGTACTTCGCGGGCCTCTAAGGAGCATAATATTATTTTATTGAACGAGTTCAATAAATTCTGTATTGAATGTACATTAATATAATATTCTGCTATCACATATTTAAATTAAGATTGGTTTAAAGAAAAATGAGTATTTTTTCATCGACTGTTTAGCGTAATAATATTATAAGCGCGTTTTTTCGCTATGTTTTTATTACGCAAAAGTCGTCACTTTGCATTCTAATATACAACTCTTATACCGTGTTTATTACACTTCTGGGCCTTGGTTATGAAATGGATAAAAATATGTTCATACCTTATGAAATGATACATTGTAACAAATGAATTCCAAACGTTTCCTCCATGTGATCTAAAAACATCACTACTGGATCCAGCATTAACCATTTTTCTTATCAAATCAATATCGTACAACTGTACCTCATCTAGCCTCGTTTTTATTTTCTTAGTCCAAAATATCCATATCAAATTGCTATCGTACGTCTAGCCTCCTTTTTAATTCCAGAGTCCAAAACGTACATTAGTTTAATGATCTTGAAGTAACAAAGTTTCAATGTCAATATGACCAAAAAAGATTAAGAGGTCTTTATATATTGCTGATTGATATGGGCTTGTAAACAAATGTAAAACCTATATCGGACTCGGCTTGCACCCCGTCAAACGTGGGTTTGACAGCTATGTACGCCTCGAATGAATGATTACCTTATACAAAAAACCATGGCAATGAATGGTATATAAATTTCTCACACGACTTGAAATCTGTGAGAAAAAAATAACTGTCTTAACGTTGTACACGCTTAAGTACGACGATGTCATTTGGTACGTGTGTAATTTTACAAGGTTACTTTACTGTAAATTCTTGAGAACAATACTAAAATGTATTGACAAGTACACATCTTCATACACTATATTGGTCGAGTCGCGAGCCGATTCTGATATATGTTTTGCAGCTGTGTAATTTAGGCTGTGTAGTACAAGGATTGTTCTGAAAGTTCTGTATAATGAGCTCTTTATTTCACACCACCATTTTGACGTGTTGACAGAGCGTTGCATCTTTAAGTACAATAAGGAATTGGTATGGATTTTGAAAATGCGAGGATAGATGGAGTATGATGTGTTATAAGTTTGATAAAGATTTTATGGACACTGAAAATGAAACGAAGCATTTGGAATACGATATGAATACGATATGCATTTGATATGATCTTTCGAAGTCTGGAAATGATGACAATTTTTATTGAAACATCAAATGGTGCAAACGCTGAAAGTTTATTGAGTCCAATATATAAAAAAGTAAAATATTGATGCGTAAGCTGGATTTTATAATGTTAATTATGTTAAGGCATGATTTTTTTCTTTTTCTTTTTCTCCGAAAACAATGAATATTACGATAATTGCAATAGATAAATGATGATGATCAAGAATGAAATTAATTTAAAGAGAAAACAACACAATTCACGTTTTATGCCCAACAGATTTATTTTTGTACGTATATACGCTTTTGATACACAACAGATGTATTTCTAATGAACATTTTTTAATGCAAAAGAGTATGCAATTTTTCTAGTTTTGTTGTTGGTGGTATTCTTGTTTTCCTTCCTTCCGAGAGGGATTTCTTTCCCGAATAGTGGTATTTCAAATAACCAACGTTGTTGTAATTCTAGCTTTATTTTTTTTTCTTT